TCCTCAGAAATTAGATGTGAGGTGTGAAAAGAAGCAAGGAGGAAAGGCGAGTCCAAGGTTTTGGGCCTGAGTAACTAAAAGTGTGTAGGTGCCATTAAATTGGAAAAGACTGTGGGTAGAGTGGGTTTGTGAGGGGAGATAATAATTTCATTTTTATGGAGATTAGATTTGAAATGAGTATTAGAAACCTGAGAAGAATTATTAAGTACACAGTTGGCTCTAGATTGTGGAATTCGGAGGAGAGGCCCAGGCTGGAGATATAAATTAGGAGTCATTATAGTACAGACATTTTTAATGCCACGAGATTAGACGAGATCAGCAAGGTTTTAAGTAAAAGGAAGAGAATATGACTAAGATCTGACTCCAATCTTAAGAAGTGGGGGAGAAAAGGAGAAACCAGCAAAGGAGAATTAAAAAAAAAAAAAAAAAGATATTAAGATAGGAAGAAAACCAAGAGAGAGTGTTGTCATGGAAGGCTAGTGTATAATGTTTTAAATGCTCACCGTAGGTCGAGTAAGTTAAGGACTGAAAATAAATACTGCTTTTAGCAATTTAGAAGTCACTGGTGGTTTTGACAAGAACAGCTGTATAAGGGTACTTCAAAAGTTCATGGTAGGATTTGTATTATCTTTTAATTCCATTTTTCCATGAACTTTTTGAAGTATCCATGTATTTGAGTGGTGGGGACAGAGCCAGACCAAAGTGAGTTAAAGAAAAATTGGGAGGAGTGAGTGTCAAAGAGATCACATATCTAAAAAGTGGGCTCTATATATACACAATAAATAATTCTTGACTTTCTAGAAAAAATGATTTCCTTCTTCTGTCCTAGATTTATTTAAATGTCTTTATACTCTTACACATTTTCTTCATTATAGTTATTTTATTTACTTGAAAAGTTTCATATTAGAAACAGTGGACATTGTTAAATTACCTGCCACCGAGCTAGCAGAAAAGAAGTTATTTTGTATTCTCAGTCCCCTGGTGCAAGATAATAACAGAAATTATCAAGATTTGCTTGTTTTAATATTGAAAATAGAGTTTTTGGTCTTTTTCAATGATTTGTCCTCCAAAGTAACTAAATAATGTTTTTTTTTTTTTTTTTTAACTTCTGCTTTTTTTTTTGGCATTAATTTTACTTTGGTCCCATTACTAAAAACGGGATTCATGTCCAGAATTTATCCAGATGAATAATAATAATAATACCTGACTTTTAAATATGATGTTTAACTTGTAACCACCGATTTTGTAGATTTAAACAAGGTTATCTTATGAGATTAAATGATTTTTTTTGAAATACCGCCTTGTTGCACTCGACCTGCTTTTTTATACTCCTCATCTCATTCACTACTGATTACATTGGACTAGAATAAGTCAGGTATTTGAGAACTCATTTATATCATATAGAAGAAAAGAAGATTGGATGAGAGTATTGGTGCATGAACTCACTAAAGATCAAGGTATAATATTAATTTTTTAATTTCTGTATCTTAACTCTAATTCAATCAGAATATTTATGTAAATATTCTTTCTTATAACTAATTTCACCCATCAATTTTACTTTTGGATATTCATTTGCCTTCTATTAATTTAAGAAAATTGTGGATTTCCCTCTGCAGCGTCTTACAAATCAGGAGACCTCAGTCTGGGTGCCAAGGTCTGTCTGTTATGTGCTGTGTGGCTTTGATCATAAAACTAACCTTTCTGTTTCTCCATAAGTACAAAAGCTTATGTTTTTACACTTAGATTCAAATGACATAGGAGTTAAGAATGTGGGCTTTGCAGGACTCTTCTGCTCACACTTAAGAAAACAAAACAAAACAAAAGACAAGAATGAGGTCTTTGGAGATAGCTACCTGGTTAATAATCTGAAACAACTCAAATAGGACAAAATATGTAGTAGCTATCCAAAAATACTAGTCATTATAGTCATTATTAACAATAAACTAATGTTAGGGTAATAACAGGCAGAAATTTTATATGTTATTTTAAAAGATATGAGGAAGATAAGGATTAGACTATTTCTATGGATCTAATTTGAGTTTTATTTCTCTTTTCACTGGATCACTTTGTCTTCATCATGCAAATATGTGTTTTTACTGGCTTCATAGCTGTCAGTAAAAATTAATGACATACGTGCTGAATATAATATGTAAGCTTTTTTCATTATTATATAATTTTGCCTTATTTTTTCCCTCCTTGCCACCTATGTGAGTATACTGCATGTTTGTGTTGGTTGAGAGAAGGGGAAAAATTATAAAATTTGCAACTCTTCATAACATTATTAGTATGTCCTGGATGTGACATGGCTATTAGAATAATCAGATATAAAATAAAGAGAGAGAAAAAAAGGTCTTTTCAGAATGACTTGCCTGCATGAACTGCTCAAAGCAAGAGTCAGGCAGAGCATCCCTGCTTTACACAAGTCAAGGTCGTAGGGTTGGAACCCCATATGGACCAATTAGTTTCACTCAGTGAAAAAAACATGTACCTCTTGCCCTGGTCAGCTGTCTCTAGAAAACCTGATGTATGTCACAGAGGGAAGTCACTAGAACATCCATGGCTCAGCACAAATTAATCATAATTGCTGGATGCAGAAAGATTTCATCCATACTGATGGTGTCAGTGTGGTTTTGTGTGAAGAAGGACAATTCCAGACAGAGCCATATGCTTTTCCAGTACTGTCCTCCTGCGTGTAGAGCAGGGGCTCATAAATATTTTGTGCTGTGCACCATTTTGGTATTCGACTGCCAAATAATTTAAATGTATAAAATAAACTACATAATATCACAAAGGAAATCTAAAATTGATATAGAGATATCAAAATATTAAATAACAAATAAAAGTAGTTTTTATCATGTGTTATACAGCATTATTTCATTATGGGTTTATTAATTACCGTAATTTCATATTATTAATTAGTATAATATTTCAACATATCTTCAATATGAATAATAATGTGGAGCACAAATATATGAGGATTTTTCTTAGTACAAAGTCACCAATTCTGCCAAACATCACTGTGGTCTATTACCTACCTTCTTAATTGATGAAAATGTTAAATTACAATTAGAAGAAAGTGAAAATTATCTTTTAGAGGCCCACGTTCTTGCATCTAGATTAAACAATTGGAGATATCTATCTGAACTATTTATAAACCTTTATAGCCAACATGTTACTGTTTCATCTAGAAAAGCACTACAGAATTTAGGATAACGTGTTTTACTTTCAGTTGATTTAAAAATAAAGCTATTCTAACAAGGGTGAAAGCATATGAATGAAAATTCATGACAGATAATTCGAATCCATTTCAGTAAATATATATACTATTGAATTTTATTAATGGTTTTTCTTAAAGCTTGGAGGAAATTTTCTAGAAGTTAGTTGTGATAAAATCTTCCCTGAAACTTTTTAATTTTTATATAGTAAGATACATTTTTTAAGAAACAGAAAGTCTAGGGTTGGTGTTTCCCCATTCATAATGTGACCATGTGATAGATTTCCTAAAAAAACTTATTAGAAATAGAAATTGTTATCAATTTCTTAAACATCGGAGGAGGAAAAAAAAGCACAAATATAATAATACACGAATATTAATTTGACTTCAGTAGTGTATTTCTGGTTAAGTAGTATTTGAAATCCCATAGCTACTAAAACATTACAATGAAATTATTTTTGTCCTTTATAGGATGCTTTTGGGGGCTTTCATTGGGAAATAAATATAGCCTTAATCTTTTAACTTTATATAGAATTATGGATTATTTGGGGATTGTCATAGTTTGTTTGGACTGCTATAACAGCATACCATAAACTGAGTGGCTAATAAACAACAAACATCTGTTTCAGTTCTGTAGGTTGGGAAGTTCAAGATCAAGGCTCTGGTAGATTTGGTTTATGGTAAAAGCTCACTTCCTTATAGAAGTGTCTTTCTTGCGATGTCCTCACATGGTGGAAGAAGAAGCAACAGATCTCTCTTGGGACTCTATTAGGGCACTAATTCCATTCATGAAGGCTCTGCTTTGGTGACCTTATCACTTCCCAAAGGCCCCACTTCTTAATGCGATCACCTTGGGGGTTAGGATTTCAACATATGAACTTTGAGGGTACACAAATGTCCAGACTATAGCAGAGATTGTGGAATGGGAAGACATGGAAGAGACAAAAATAAGTATGGACTTTATTTGGGTTATAAATCTTTTTCTCTATCTTCATCTTTTATTTAAATATTTTATCAGTAATTCACTCAAATATCTTCATTTATTTTTTGTCTAACTATTTGAATACAGTTGTCTCTCCTTACTGTGTGCAATAACAATTGTAATAATTCATTGCAGTATTTATTTTTTTTAAATATGCATTGGGCTTGAAGACAGGAGATCAAGCAATTGATTAAGCCTCTCTGGATTTTCATTTCCTCTTTTATGTTTTATAATGACCCTTTAAAGCATTTTTCTTTTTGTAAGATAGTAGTTAAAAGAGAATCCATAAGGCCAGCCCGGTGGCTCACTGGAGAGTGTGCCTCTTGGGAGTACGGCGGCGCTCCTGCCGAGTGTTCAGATCCCATGTGGAGACCGGAGCGCAGTGTGGACACAACACCGAGGGTTGCGATCCCGTTGCCGGTCCCCAGTACGGGCACGACACCGAGGGTTGCGATCCCATTACCGGTCAGTAAAAAAGACAAAAAGGAAAAAAAAAAAAAGAGAGAATCCGTATATATAACATGAAAATTGATGCTCCAAAAGGACTCCATAACATGTAATTTTTTAACCTTATTACCGGTCAGTACACAACACCGAGGGTTGCGATCCCGTTGCCGGTCCCCAGTACGGGCACGACACCGAGGGTTGCGATCCCATTACCGGTCAGTAAAAAAGACAAAAAGGAAAAAAAAAAAAAGAGAGAATCCGTATATATAACATGAAAATTGATGCTCCAAAAGGACTCCATAACATGTAATTTTTTAACCTTTTGTAATTTTTTAACCTTTTTTTTTTCTTTCTTAGGCTGAACAGGACAATGGCCATCCTCTTCCTGCTTTTGCCAGTCTACATATAGAAATACTGGATGAAAACAATCAGAGCCCATATTTTACAAAGCCCAGTTATCAAGGCTATATCCTGGAATCTGCCCCAGTGGGAGCAACCATTTCTGACAGTCTAAATTTGACCACTCCTTTAAAAATCGTAGCTTTGGACAAAGACATAGAAGACGTAAGTAAAACATGTATTTTTGCTCTTCTGTTTTAACACATCTGTTGGTATATTTATGTTACTAGGAATTATTACAAGATATGGCTACATAAACTATAAAACAATGAAAAAAGTCAGTATAATGAGTCTTAGAATTATAATTTAATTCCATGTCAAGGATATTTAAAAAAGTATGCATGAATTCAATAACTGTTCGTTTTCAGTTTTCAGATATTCAGTAAATGGAAGAAAATGAATGTTTCACTTGGGGTTTGCTAAATCACCAGGGCAATCTTTTGTATTAATATAGGTTGAAAACTGTTTTATATAATTGCTGATTAGGACAAAATAATGGCATTGCTAAATGAGTATAAAAATCTTCGAGGCAGCCCTGGAGTGTGTTCTTGGCAGATTGTTCATTCAGTCTGGTGGTGTGTTATTAAAGAAAACACACTGGAGGGGCAGCTGACTCACTCACACTTCTGCCGGTGGCTGTGCTGATGCTGACAGTCCTTCACACATCATTGTCCTCTGTTTTTGTTGTTATCAACACTACCTGCATGAGTGGGAAATGGTCCAAGATGGGCACATCAGAGTATTTACCTCCTTAGCAAGAGTGGACAGAAAATCTATACCAGGCCAGCCTGAGTCCTACCAGAATGTATTGGGAAAGGGAGTGGGGAGAAGGAGCTGGAAGACTTTGACATGATGTATTGAAGAAGTAGAAATAAATCTGAAGCCCTTGTAGCCAAGTTTGCTAACATCACAGAGAAAGCCATTATCAGTGGGAGAGAATGAAGCCTCAGAGACACACGCAGAGAAGACAGGCCTGTTGGGTCCCTGTTTTTAAATTATGAACCCAGAGCTATTCCAATCCCTAAAGATTTGCTTTTTATTCTGCAGACTGCCACAGTATTTCCATACATGTATGTGTGTGTGTGTGTACACATATAATTTTTTTGCATTGTTTTATTTCTGTCACTTGAAACTTAAAATAATTGTGACTCAGCGATTTCTCCCACTTCAACAGCTGGGTCTGATAGAACTTTCTGTGATGATGGAAGTGTTCTGTAGTTGTGCTGTCCAATACAGCAGCCACTAGTTGTATGTGGCTAATGAGGACTTGAAATGAGAAGAACTAAAAACATAACTTTTGTATTTTAATTTTAGTGAACTTAAATATAAATAGTCACATGTCTCTATCTGGACAGCTCAACTCTAGAACATCCCGGATATCTCATCACACAGAGCTCTATCACCTCTTTAGTAAACTAAGAGGGCACTTTCAGATCAGACTTTTTTTTTTTTTTTTTGCTTTTCTAAAGAAATGTTGTGACCCTGAGCAGAGGCTGTGGCAACTCTTGTGGGTATTTTGGGCATTTCATCTCTTCCCACCAGATTTTTATTTTACTCTTCATAGCTCCTATTTTTTTCTTGTCTTCTTCTATCCCACCTTTTTTGTCCTTCTTAGTCTCACTGTTTTTTTTTTTTTCCCATCTCTTCTCATATCACAAGTTTTAACAATAGCTAATCGTCACTGAATTCTCAGTATGTGCCCGACAATATAGTAAATGCTTTGTCTTACATTAGTTCTCTTAAATCCTACAGCAAACAGATGCAATTTCCCACACATTAGTTCTCTTAAATCCTACAGCAAACAGATGCAATTTCCCACATTGCAGAAGGGAACACTGAAGCTACTTTAAATGCCTTACTATGATCACAGAGTTAGTATATGGTAGAGCTGGACATTGAGCCAAAGTCTACAGGAAACAAACTCCTTGATTTTAAGCATTAGTCTAGAGAGCTCCTACATATTTTATATACTCTGACTGTAATCTGACTACAATAAATGTTGATTAACTCTATAGGCTTTCTTCTTAGAAAAGTGTGTGTGTATACACACACACACACACACACACACACAATTTTATTTACCAGTTCTGGTGGTTTATGGATCCCCTCAAATTTTATGGGTTTCATGAGTCACAAGGAAAAAAAAAATCTTTCATTTAGTGAATCCTCACTAGAAAACACCCAGAGTCACCTTAATAAGTTTTATCCTAAGCTAAGCTAATACATTTTGCAAGCCTGGAGAAGTCCCACATATTTTGATGTGGATTTTATTTCGTTTTTCAATTGAATATATACTCATGCTTTAAGCAATGATGGGTTAAATTGAAAGTTTTGCTAGTTTAGGTAATACCTTCAAGGACACAGTGGTTAGAAAAAGCTAAATCCTAAAGTCATGCAGTTTTTGTTTTCACACAATAGCAAAACTTATGTATTTATACTTGCTGAATGTATTTATATTATACAATGGTTGCACACTAAGGCTGATGCTTGCTCGTATGGGCACTTACTTGTCTGTATTGTCTCTTCACTTTAAAATTACAAATGTTAAATTGTGATATAACAAACTTTATAAAAGACAGTAGGGCTCACAGGCAATGATGAAATGAAGTGGAGAGAACTTTTGGGTCTAAAAATTTTGGGAAACACTACTTGAAATTCTACTCTTGGAGATTTACAATGCCTACTAAATGCTCTGAGACGTTTCCAAGGGATGGGTTTTAGGATTTAGGACTTTTAGACAGCTCTAGGTTTGACTCCTGGTTCTGCCATGTAATAGCTGCGTAACGTTGTGAGGCTCATATTCACCAGGTGCCCCTCTAGTTCCATCAGCTACATGGTAGCAATCATTGCTGCCTTGGTCTCATCTTCAGTTGGGGCTAGTGAAGACATGCATGGAGAGAACATTTCACTAAGATGATGTCATGTATATGGACAGTGGCATGATTAAAATATTTTGTAAAAATTTCCAGTAGTTAGACATCTGGTCACTTGTTTATTATAGACCCAACTTCTTTCTAAAATTATCTATAGGGAATGAGTATCATTAGGTGTCCAGAAAGTGAACAAGTACATCTAATCTCCTAGTGACAAAGGTTTCTAAAATATCTTATACAGTTTCTGTATATCTGTAATTTAAATAAATTTATAGAATATTAGAGATAGTTTTATTCATCTTCCTACGCTATGTAAAATGTACTCCTAAAACTAATTCCCCAGAAATTGATGTAACATTTCACTGAGACGCTCAAGCTAGAAACCTTGGAGTCTTCCTTAATTTTTATGTCCTCTACTCACCACAACTTAGATATCTTCAAGCTCTTTTGTTTCGTAATCCATTTCATCTTTAAAACCACTACCCTATCATTCTTTTACTAGAATTATCTTTGGATATGTTTGTTACCTTTTGTTTCTTATCGAATTCATTTTTCACTCAGCCACTAGAATGATTTATTTAAAAGCTCAAATCTCACTATATCACACTGGTGCCTGATATACTTTTGTGCCTAATTCTTTACAGGAGAAAATTCAAGCTTAGGTACATGGCTTTCTGTATCTTTGTACTTGAACATTTTTGCTGCCTTAATTTCCAAAACGTCCTTCTTCTCCTGTTACATTTAGCAATGGCTTGCAGTTTTTTGCATATGCCAAGGTGCATCTTACCTAATTATCTTTGGGACATTTTCTATGACTTGAAATCTTTCATCTTTCATCACACAGGCTGGCTTGGATTACTTATACTCAGTGTTTAGAATTTAGTCAGGCATTCCCTCACTCAAGAATATTTTCTGAAGTATTCATTGTCTAAGTTGAGTTACATGTCCAACTCTGTGAATTACTCTAATGTTATCCTTCCAGGTTTGCAATATATACCTTTCTCCTACATTGAGTTTAAATCTCTTGAGGATAGGTCATGTATCTTAATAATTTTTGTATCCTGAATACCTAACATAGTTACCAGCACTTAATAGATTTTAGTAATTCTTCAATGAACTACTAAATTCAGATATGATTGAAGAAATGAGGATCTCTAACATATGCTTCAAAAATTCTAATGATACTGAACTAACTATTTCGCAATATGGCCCGTTCGGTGGCTGGTTAACTCTAATTCTTAGCTCCTCATCACACTAAGCTGAAACCAGCCTTCTTGTAACTTACTCATTATTCCTTAACTTTTCCATATGCCCGCAACCAGAAAAAAATCTGTGAAATAGTCACTAATGTGTTTGAAGATGGATTTATCTTCTTCTGAATCATCTCTTTTTCCAGGCCTGCCATTCTTTATTTTTATATAGCAGAAGAGCTTGTTGCTAAGGTATTTAAAGATCTGTATTAACAAAAGAAAATCTCAAGGCTCTTACAGTTCACAGGCAAAATTCGTGTTACATGGTAAAATCTAGCTGTATTTGACAGTCATAATAGTGAAAATAATCAGCATAAAGAGACATTGACATGTCACCTTATACAGGTGTCATCCATAGAAATGGAGATTAAGAGCCTCAAGCATGAAAAGAGGCATTATCACTGCATGGATTGGCGGTCATGAGATACTTCAAGGTTAGCTATGCCAGAAGGAACATGACAAGAAGTAGACCAACATGGATCCATTTGTCCAAAAATTAAGTTGTATTTCTTCCTTCAATTCAGTGGAAAGTGGGAAAAAGATTTAAGAATTAGTAGCAGGGACTGCTTAATTGTGATGTTATTTGCAGTATAGATTTGAGTTAGAAGAAATCATAAGGGTCACAGTAAAACTGAAAACAAAAGTAAACAGAAACATTTGTATCAATGTTACTTTTTTATGGATATATAGATATGGATACGCAGATATGTTTATGTATGTGTGTATATATACATATGCATCACTTACAATTATCTTCTTTTCAAGGTAGTCTTACTACATCATAGTTTCAAAATAGTTCACAGTATAAGAACAGTAGGAAATGCACAAGTATGTAAAAGACATATCGGATACAACCATGTTTTCAGTGTCAAAGTCCCTAAAAGCTGATTATGAATTCTGGTTACCAAAAAATAACCAGGAAACAATAATTAACAAAATGTATCCATTTGGCTTATAAATAAACAATGATTTACTTATAATTCCATGTCAATTAATTTCCCTACATAGAGTGTTATTGTTTCAAAATAAAGGAATCTTTGAAATGTATTTTCATATACTCTTAAGGGTATTATGTACTTGCTTTATGAATATTATTATTTCATCCTATGCATATCAAAATATTAAGCAAAAAGTTATTATATACACTTTGGAAAAAGTTAATAATTTAAATCTACTAGAAAATAGTTATTTTAACAATTTTCTACTATTGTACATTTATATGTCATATATACAGTTGTGATCATTTATATTTGTTTTTATTTCACGTCTAATTTTCATATAGGTTCCATCTGGTGGAGTTCCTGTAGGTACTAGGCATTAATTTTGTGATTGTTCCTTTGTTAATTGCTGTGGTTCATTTCCTTGTTCTTTTTCTTTTCCACTAAAACAAGTAATCATTACTTTATTATCACTTTTAAAACAGCTATAACTAGGGCCAAGCCCATGGCGCACTCGGGAGAGTGCGGCGCTGGGAGCGCATCAGCACTCCCGCCGCGGGTTCGGATCCTATATAGGGATGACCGGTGCGCTCACTGGCTGAGCTCGGTGCGGCCGGTCTCAAAAAGGACAAAAAAAAAAAAAAAAAAGAAAAAAAAGAAAAAAACAGCTATAACTACTTTATACAAACTGAAATATTTTTACATCATATTATTGGTTGCAGTACTTGAAATTTTGTAGAATCCAAATTTCATTGTGAACTTAGACAAAGATGATTTAATTATTAAATGTTTTCTTGAATACAAGAAAAGTAAAGTCTATGACAAACTTTACTAATTCATTATGGCATTCTTTTTAAACAATTCTGTGTTTGGGATTGAACCCTTTTGAGCTAAGTTCATCAGACAACTACTGCCAATTAATTAAAATTGACAGACAAGATGAAATTTTGTGTTCTTTTTTGGGGTATGCTTTATTATTTATATGTATGCACATAAGTATGCATACATATATATTTTGCACATATGTGTGTGTGTATATATACGTATGTATATATTTCTGTGTTAAATGTATGTATATATGAGCATGGATATGATTTTCGTGTGTGTGTTATATCATATTTTTATTCAAATTAGAAATTTCAAATTGGTCTCAAATCCAGTAGACTGCCATATTTGTACAAAGCTCTTCTATATGATGGGATATTTTTGTTTTACATTCATAAGTTTCATTTTCTTTCTACTTATGTATACACTTAATTTGCATGTATTTTGTTCTTTGTTATGACTGTATATCAGAGTTTATTTTACACTCTCAGAAAATACCATAGTAATCTGAAGTAATATACCATACTTCCCGAATGATATTTTAGGGTAAAATAGGTATTACTTTATGCCAAGGGAAAAAAAAAGAACATTTGTTAATCAATTCTCTGTGTACATATTGATTTAGAACACTAATATTTATTTTAAATAAATTTATAGATACAGTGACTGCATAATAGATACTGCCTTTATTAGAATATTAAGCCAGAGCATTTTTGTCATTCATATTCTAGTCCATAAAACTTAGGAGCATGGAACTCTTACAATGTCAGAGGTTTTACAAAAATAGAAATGTTGACTGAACTTGATTCCTCAATTATAGTAATGTAAAATTCAAATAGATTTGTGAAATCTAAACTGTATAGGCAGAAGGCAAAGACAGAATTTAAGTTTTAAAAGAAATTTATGAGAAGGAAATGTGAGATGCCCATTATTTCTTACCAAAAATTTGATATAGCTGAAGTTGTTTGTCAAGAACAGCAAAATCTTTAACTATAAATATTGTCAATCAAAACAGAAGTTTTGTTGGTATTTACATGTATCCATTGAAATTTTAGGTTGAAATAACATAAAATTTTCATAAAATTTATAAAATTATATGGTGTACTTTTTTGAATACTCATACTATATCTAAAATTAATATTATCGTTAGAAATAAAACTAACACATGGATGAACATATATAAAATTATGTTATGTGAAATAAGCCAAGCACAGAAAGGGAAATAGCACATATCCTCACTTATATGTGGGAGCTAATGAAAAAAAAAAACAATAAACAAATTAATAAAAAGTGAAAGAAAGATACAACAATCACAATAATATGTTGAACTTTTAAGGGAAGGAAATGTATTCATAACTGAGGTTATGAAGGGAAGGAGAAAGGGGAAAAAGGAGGAATGGCTAAAGGGTGTCAAAAATTGATTACATTTTATAATGGAGAGTGTACAAATTATCCCGATTTGATCATCACATATGGCACACAGGTATTAATAATCAATGCTGTACCCTACAGGTATGTATAATCAACTATGTTCCAATAAAAAATAAATGTAAATAAATAAATATATTGAACACTTAGTGATAATTTGCTGAACATTTCCAAATATGTCCTTTTGAATTTTAGTACTTAAAGAAATACTAGAGTATTCGCCAACATGTGTGTTATATACAAGTTCACGGAAATATTCATATTATCTAATTCTATTTTCCACAATTTTTGAAGTATCCTCACCTACATATAAAAGGCTATGAACTTAAATAAACATAAATTTCAAAGAGTTATATTTTAATCAAGTTTAACTGTGCAAAACAGACTATGTTGAACTATAATATGTCAGCTAAAGTGCTAGATTTATGTAATACATTATCTCCACATTAAACAAATAATTACTGTCTGGGAAATGTTATCTTAATCTGCAGCTAGTTATTATAAAAGGACTCAAGAGGTTGATACATTTAAGCTATCAAAAAGTCTTTAATGTCTTTAGTTATCTAATATGAGAGAGTCTGTTTATGGAGTATCGATGTGTATATCACCTTCAAAAGGGAAGCATTTGACAATAAAAATTTTGAGACTTTTCATAAAATTGGTAAAACAAAATGGTTGTTTGTGACACAACCATATTATAATATAGTCACATATGTACATGCTGGTTCACATCCCAACAGTCATTGCAGTATTATATCACAATACCCTGACATACAAAAATGCTTAAAAATATGGTGAATGTATAAATGAATACACCTACAGTTAAATGGAAGAAAAGAACTTAAGAGAGGACTAAGGTACAAAGGTAATAGAGAATGATGGAAGGGATTGAAACAAAAGGAACGAAATAAATATTTGACAAGCAAGTCACATAGTAAAATTTTCTCAGCTTGTGTTACTAGGACCTAAAGGTTTGTGCAAAAGAATACATCTTAAATGGCATCATTGCTGGTACACTCAGAGAAAACAAACAAACAAACAAACAAAAAAAACATATGAATTGAAAAGCTTAGTGAGTGGGTAAAATCAAGGGATAAACACTTAAAAAAAAAATTGGCAGACACTCCTATTTTGTTTTTTATTGCCTAAAACTGCATGTGAAGTAACATTTTTATCATCTCTAAAGTCATATTCAAATTTCATCAGAATTGAATCTAAAATGTAACAAAATAACAAGAATCCTCAAAACTGTGTTTCAAAATATGTTTAGTTACATGCATCTTATAACTTCCTTTTGTGGATAAATAACTTAATTTTTTATTAACTAACATATTTGATTAACCAAAATACCCCACTTTGTAATCATTCTGAGTAATTGGGCTCATGACAGTGAAATGAAAACTGAAATTTCTGAAAATATCAGTGTAAAGCCTCCTGACTTTTATCTCTTAATATCTTTGACCATTTTATAAAAGACCAATGAAAATTATTACCTATTTTTTTAATTGTTCAAGATAAATGTAACATGCTGACTTTAAATCAAAATCCTGAACACGGAAGCTACCACAGAATATTATGAATACATAAATTGTTTCAGGTTCAAATGAAACCATGCATTTCAAATTATTTGAAATGTACACATATTGCAGCTTTTAAAAGATGTATACGTTTAAGTATAGTGGGGATCAAATCAGTCCACTTTTTATTATAGTAGTGTGCATTCCAACTTTCTCACTTTTACATAGAAATTTTTAAAAATGTCTTATTTCTTTTCAAATTAACACATGCTTAACAATTTTCTACTCTCCGTTTTGTCCTCAGCCCTTGATACCACAAATAGAAAAGTGTTCTAAAAGGTTAAAATGCATTTCACATCATACTATGCATAATATTTTAAAAGGTACCATAATCTATAAAAACACCTTACCTCCCATATAATCCCTTTTTCTCTTTTTCATAGCCTTCCTGATAGTCTGCTGTTTTCAGTATTCCCTTTGTACTTGCCCCACCACCTTTCTTTCCTATTATGCACACACCAATCCAAACTGTCCTAATTTGTCTTTGCTCTTTCTCTGAATTGCGGGGAATAATGTCTTATCCTTCAGGGGTGCGATAAAGGGTTTCCAGTGTTGAGTTAATTATCTCTTAGTCTGGACTTTTGAAATCCTCTCATGCTTAAGTATTATGACTTTTATCTAGACACATGTGCTAAATTCATGTATATTTTCAATCAAATCATCTGAAATATTTTAATTAAAATAAAGACTATGTTTCCCTTTGGAGAATCTTGACAACATTAAAATGAGAAAGATCATGCCTGATATTTAGAGGTAATGAATAATATACATAAGCAATTTCATTTTTATTTTGCAATATAAGTGAGAACAAGATGGTAACATACATGTGTGCAGTTTATTACTATAAATGAAGGAATTATAAAATCCTATAGCTAAAACTCTGGGCTCCAAATTTCTTTTTCTGTTCTTATTTCTTATTTTTCTAGTCCAGTAAAGTTCTAGAAAATATTGATATTAAACAATCAGTAAGAACATATTCAATTGGGTTGTTTTCTTTTTTTTTCCTCCTCCTTTTTTCACATTAATTATAAAAGGCTACTTCCAAAGATTTGTGGAAAAATAGAATTTAAAGATAATAGTGTTTCCATGAATTCTTTGAAGACTCCTTGTACTAATATTTATTTCATTATTTTGTATTACACAATATGGGTCACTGTCTTTTGTATAGTTTATCTCATTTATGAATAAATATCTATTTAAACCTCTCTTTTCTTTAGAAGTTCTTTATACAAATGTATATTTGTGTCCTAAATTTCAAAAATTAATTTTCAGGTAATGAACTAAATAGCTGCATTATTTATTCATCATGTTAAATAATGACATTTTTTTTTTTCTTGAAGACAAAAGACCCAGAGCTTCACCTGTTTCTGAATGATTACACCTCAGTCTTCACTGTCACACAGACTGGTGTCACTCGTTACCTCACCTTACTTCAGCCAGTGGACAGGGAAGAACAGCAAACTTACACCTTTTCGGTAAGGAGATTTCATATTCATATATATGGATGTGTGTAACTGAAAGAGATGTCTGTTCAAAACCAAAAAGGTCAATGTCTTCAGGAGAAAAATACAATATTTTCAAGTAATACCAGAGAGAAAATCAATAACAAAAAAGACTTCACATGTATTTTTCCTTTTCCTAAGTTTGGACTCATATAGCTATATGAACATCCTTTCCCACAGAAGAAACATGCTTTTCAGGATGAAAACAATGATTTGGGAATTTCATTCTTCACCACAGACTTGTAAATGACCTAAATTGAGATATAAACTAGAATCTATAAAATACAGAATTATTTCCTAATTTTTTTGTGGTTGTTGCTATTGCATTTTAAATTTTGTCTTACTGGTAAGCCAGTGTTTCTCAGCTGGGAATAATTTTTTCCTCCAGTAAACATTTGTCAATGTCTAGAGGCATTTTTGGTTGTCAAACTGCGAGGGGAGGCTACTGGCATCTGGTGGGTAGACGTAAAGAATGCTGCTAAACATTTTATGATACACAGAACAGCCCTCTACAACAAAGAATCACCTGACCCAAAATGTCAGGAGTACTTAGGTAGAGAAATCTTGGGTTAGGCTAATCAAAGGGGAAAATGTAAAGTGTGATTGTAAGTAGTTATCAGCAGATAAGAAAAAATATACAACTAGTATAGTAGGGTTGAGAGGTAAACACAGCTTAAAAAGGAAGTTTTAACTATATCCAAATTCTTAAATCAGATTTAAGAGAAAGATGAGTTGATAGAAAATCACAAGCTGCGGGATTTACATAGGAGTTATTTCTGGAGAAGACTACACAGCAGAAGAACAGAATTTCCAGGAATCCTTATGTGACAGTTAAAACTTAGGTACACAGTGGATTTCAGAAGTCATTTAGACAAGAGTGATGGCATTGCAGCCCTGATTTTGCTTGTCAGGCATTCTTAAAATGTTGATAAAGTAATTAAGATATCCCTATTAACTAATGACAATGAGTCCCTAAAAATTGCCATTTTGTGAATTACTAGGATAAGATATTATATATCTAGGTCGTCTACTTTCTCGACTGATAAAAACATGTTGACTGTGCAAGTAGCTATTATATTGTATAAAAAATCTGTAAAACCAAAGAATACTTTAATTTTTTAGAATTATACTGTAGTTAACTCATAAGAATCAGCAATGTTATTTTGACCCACTTTAAACCTCCAGGACATTTTGCTTATGTAAAATGTGCTAGAGTTGAACACACTAAGAGTAGAATAAGATCCTCAATACTTACTTCTTAGCACATCAAAACACCTTTAAAATATGTAGTATTATATTTTTATTACTTTCTTTTTTCAGCAAAACAGTTTAGTACCCTTTTAAAATTGTTCATTACATATAAGAAGCTTGTTAAATTGTAAGAGTGAATTCTGTACTGCTTATATTTGCACGACTTCTCTATTCCGTGTATTTTTCTATCCCCAAAGATAACAGCGTTTGATGGTGTACAAGAAAGTGATCCAGTTATCATCGATATTCGAGTGATGGATGCAAATGATAACACTCCAACTTTCCCTGAAATATCCTACGATGTCCATGTTTACACAGATATGAGCCCTGGGGACAGTGTCATACAGGTAATTGCCCATGTCACATGAGGATACACTCAAAGCAGTTATTTCCATATCACACAATGCACTCCTTAAGAAATTGCTTTAGGAATAAAAATGAATTTCAGACTTATTGCATTGCATAATTTAGCTTTAAAAGCTTTACATTTATATTTACTTTTCAAATGAAAGTATATCAGTATGAACTTTGAAGTTGACTTAACTAGTTATTAGGTATAAACATAGCTAATTGACCTGTTTAAATGATTTCTAAAAAATTAATATAATGAATATAATTAATTAGTATATTGAACATGTATTTTAAATCTTCAAATTACTTGGTACTATTTTAGAAATTGATTAAATTTCTCTTGGTGATAAATATAAAGATGCATTAATAAATTAGTGGGTGATCCCATTCGATGTTGGTTGCCTGGATAAAATAGAATAATTATAGCAGGAAAAATTTTGATTAGGTAGTAAATCATGCCTCAGAAAACATATAAATCAGGCAAAATTTTTGTCTTTGATTTGTCTTATTTTTACCATTAACTATATTTATTAGATTTAAATAAATTGTAAGTTAGCACAAAACCTTTTTGTATTCTCACTGTTCTGAGTGTAAATCAAAGAAGTTTAGTCTGACCGAACTAATTCCAGTTACCTAAATGTGCATGGTTTCTCATTTTTTAATTTTTTACTCTGCTTTCAATTCTTTTCCTTCTATGTATGGCTTAATTACTTGCTTTTTATCCTTCTAAATTATTTTCTTTAAAAGAAAGCATCTCTTAGTAGTTTTCGGCAGGTAGTGTAGTTCCTAGTAATTCTTCCTTAGTAGTTCCTGTACTTGCAAATGAGCAGTAACACGGTAGTTTGTAGCCAAAACACAATGATATAGTGAGAAAACTTCCCTAACAGCTTGGTGTCAATAGTGCCCCAGCTCACACATTCACACGTGAGCTCACGTGCGCGCGCTCGCGCGCGCGCACACACACACACACACACACACACACACACACACACACACTCTTTTTCTATATCTTTCTCTCATCAAGATCATAGCCCTTATAACAATTTGAAATTATCTTATACTTTTCTTTCCCTCACCTCAAACTGAAAACTCCAATAGTTCAGCAACTGTCTTCTTTGTCTGCCACTAGGAGCCAGCACTTGATGGACATATTACCTATGCAGTAAATATTCAAGAGATAAATTATTACCAACTTTGCACCATTTAATTGTTAACATAAATTAGAAATGACTCAATGTTATCCCTATTTTATTTATGAATTAAGATATGCTTTCTTGAGTTATATGGAAATGGTTGACATAATAGCCTAGAGACTGCGAATTCGCCTGAACATTCATCCCATGTGTGAATATCCTGTGAATATCCTCTGCAGTATGTGTGGTAACAGGGGAGAAAAGGTTTTAAACTGCCACAATACATTTTATTAATATATTGGTATGACATCTGCTGCACCGATGAAATTTATTTGTTTTTCTCAATTTGTTTTAGGGGCACAACTATGTTTAATTTCTGTATCCATAGCTTCTGTATCTATCCATGGTGCCTGACATAGAGTAGATGCTTAATATAGGAGAAGCTTAATAAATAGTTATTTTAGGATAAAAGAAAAGAGGACCTGAAGACAAGCAGGAATGAGTGAATGAAGACACGAGTGAATGGAAAGGTGTAAATATATTGACCTTTATATCTAGTCAATTGATGGACAAAGAGAACTACATTTTTCTTTATTGAGGCACTCTTTCATAGGTAAAAGAAATATAGTTTATTCAGGTAAAGGAATGACAATTATTGTCATGTTCTTATTTAATTAGACCCGATTCTCATCTCTATAATGACATAATTAGAAATGAAAGTAAGTTTATATAGAAAAACAGTCAGCAAGAAACTGGAAAGTGTAACTAGGAAAAAGAAGCAATTATGTGGTGTAACTTTATCTCAAAAATTTTTGCCTTAGGGAATCAAAAGCTTATTTCTGCCATTTGCATGCTACAAAAGTTAATTTCCCTTATGTACCTCTTTGTAAAACCGATCTTGCCTTACTTTTAAAGGTTTATATCTTATATATTTCCCTGAACTGTGCAGATTATGAAGAGAGATTTTTGTTTGTGTCTATATGCCTACAATTCTTAAAATTATTTTAAAACCAAGAAATGAAGCTTTAGAATTAGAATTTTCATGTTATTCCCAGTATGTGGTAAAAGAATGGCATGACTACAGAATATCCTCCAAGAGCCTAGAAATAAACGGAAATAAATTTCCCAATGGTAGAAAAAATTTAAAACAAAGAAAAATTACTCAGAACTGTGATCTTCAAGTGCCCTTCAAGGGTTCCAATGCTCCACCCTCCCAGCCCTTCATCAATCCTACCTTTCCCCTTTTAACCCAAGAGAAGATTAGTCAGTTTACTGTTTACTTAGTAACTTGATTTAAAAAAAAAAAAGAGTGCATGTGTTAGAAACAAAGGTGACAATGAGCACTCTCCAGAACAGAGAACCTCAGATAACAGGTTTAATTAAAAGCTGTAATTATAATGTTATTTTCAACACAACCATCAGACTTTTTTGGCCTTATGGAAGTACATACTCAATTATTTGAGTACACTATTTTCTTACTATGAAGTAGCTAACCTTTCCTACAAGAAGTAGACAGGTTGATTATAAAGATGTAACCATGTCCTTGTTAAAAGTTCTCAGTTATGAATTGGACTTCTGACTTTATGTATATCTCTTATGTTTATCATTGAAAAAAGGAGCAGAGTGATTCTCACATATATGCGTCACGAACCACACTTAGAGGAGTATTATCTTCAAGCATCATCTTTACTACCATAATTGGAACTAAAATGTAATCACATTATTAGACCATAATATGTTTAAGAAAAAATTACTGGCATGAGAGAAAAAAGTTTTGCTTTGTTTTGTTTTCTATTCATGCAGCCTATTTTATGCTGCATAAAAGACCATTTTGTGGCCATCGATGAAATCTTACACAACAATGCTAACGGACATCATGCTCTATTGTCGTAAGGTCTCATTTTATACACTGATAGTTTTCTGGAAAAACTAATTGCCCTATATCAAAGACGCAGATTTTAATATGCTATTTTAATATTTTGAAGATGTAGATTTAAATTTTGGGTGCAAACTACTCAATCGTACTCTGTAGACACTATTCACAAACTTTTGCAATTCTCTTAAATCAAAGGTTCTCAGTCCTAATTGAATATAAGAGTTCTACTTGAAAAACTTTTAAAAGTAGTGATGCCTTCACTCCACCCTGAAATGTTTTCATTTACATGATCTGGCCACCTATAATAGAGTCACACGAAGAGATTTTATTTAAGAAAATTAAGCAGCTCTATATTAGAGAAGCAAATTTTGAGAATCACTGCCTTAAACTTGAACAATATTTTTGTAACACTAAATAATCATATCTCTTAAGTCATTATGATGAATTCCTATATGAAGTTGAATCTTTTGATTCCCACCCCACCTCTCTCCATTTCTCTCATTCTTCAATTTCCTTATCTTCTTGTCATGCATCTGATTCCTCTTCACTGCTTTAGTATCCACTCCTTCCCATCCCTGTACTGCACTAAATATTCCATTTCTTTCACTATAGCAATCTCTTCCTCTCTGCTGATTCCTTCCCTTTGACCTGTGTATTAGTTTCTCTTGCTTTTAACAGAAATATATGAAACTGGGTAATTTATAAAGAAAGGATATTTACTGCTTACAGTTTCAGAGGCTGGGAAGTTCAAAGTCCAGGGAACGCATCTGGTGAGAGCTTTTTTCACTGGTGGTGACTCTGCACAGGGACACAGGGTATCATATTGTGAAATAGCTGAACAAGAGAGAACCAAGCTTTTCACTTGTTCTCCTCATAAAGTCACCAGAACCATGCCCATTTCTCCATGAACATATCAATCCATTCATAAGGACATGGTCCTCACAATCTAACTGTCTCCTAAAGGCCTCATTTTTAATTACCATAACAGAATTTCCCATCCTCAACACTGTTACAGTGGGAATTAATACATGAATCTTGGGGGAACGCAATTCAACCTGTAGCAGCCTATAAACATTCTTAAATATCCCTGTGCCCTGGTCTCAGTACTCTTCCCAGATAGAACCTCTTCATGTTGCTGTCTCACTCTAATCCTTCACTTTATCAATAAAATTACCTAAATTTATCAAGCAATCCAAGTGCCTACATATCTACATCTATCTATCTATATCTGTATCTATCTTTCTATCTATCTATATTTCACTCACATCACACCACTAAAATTATATATCTCATCAGTCTATCTCTAAATGTCAAACTCAGAAGCATTTTTCAGTTACTAATCTATGTAAAACTCTCAACTTCATTCTTTTGTGAAAAACTTCCCTGGTTTTCATCCTAGCTCTCTCTTGGCTGAGAAATATTGTTTGATTCTCATCCATTAAATATTAACATTCTTCAAAATTTTCTATGTATTTCTCTTCTTTTTTATCTATTCCCAAGTTTTTAATCATCACCTGTATGTGTACCTGCATCCCCTAAAGTTAAATGATCTGTGATGACCTCTGCCCTGAGCATCGAGCATAATATTACAGGTATCTGTGGGCATGAAAATGTGGATTTTTGACAATCACATCAAATTGGACATATTCTAAGATAAATTAACTAATACATTATCTTTCTTCTAATACACAAGCACACAGACTCAAAAACACACACCTAGTCCTCTTTGGAGGCGACTATACTGTGAAGTGCACCATTGGTCTTTCGGTTATGCAGGCAGGAGGCGAGCAACCTTGGAGTCATGCTTGTTTTCCCTTTCTTTCACCTACATACGCCCAGATTAGTGTTCAGTTTATGCAATTACTATTTCAAAATGTATTGGTCAATCATCATTTTTTTTTTATTAAAGACATTATTTTTTAGATAAGTTTTAGGTTCACAGCAATATTGAGAGGAAGGCACAGAGATTTCCCATACACTCCCTGCC